AAATGGAATGAAACTAAATCCAGATACTCCAGAGCATCCTATCACACAACTGGAAACTCACAGAAAAACAACCATTACACCATTAGATATGAACTGTTTTCAAAGCAAAGCTTTTCATGCTGTGATCTCACACACTGGACAGGCTCCAGTCTCCCCAGCGATGGGACAGCGACTTCAAAAGGAGCCCTCATTACATCTGGATACACCATCAAAATTCCTGTCCAAGGATAAACTCTTCAAGCCTTCCTTTGATGTGAAGGTAGGATTTAAAGGAAATGGTCTTGGAGTTATCAGTTGTGTAGTTTATGAAGTTAGCACTCCAAATTCTAGGGATATTGGTAAATAGATTTATATTATTGAGTCCCAGTATATACACAGGATTTGGGTAGTGGAGAGATACATAGTATGAAGTCAGGATGTGCGACTTCAAATCCTGGATCTGTCATGAACTGTATGTGACTCCAGGCAGATGATTTAACATACTTGAACTTCTGTTTCTGGTATACAAATAAGATAGTGATACTTTCTCTGAAAACTCGGATTCATCATAAGGATCAAATGAAATGATAAAATAATTAAACTATAAAGTGATATAAACATTATTTTAATGCATTGATTCTAGTAGCTAGGCATGTTTTTCTGAAAATGTCTATTGTCATTCCCCTAGACTATGACTTTGTTTGATCATCTGAGCAGTGTAGTATGACTCTTCTGAAAAATTCACAAATCACGGGCTAATGTACCTTTCTCAAATGGTTTCCTTTCACTTACCGAAGTATGATTTTCTTCACTCTTCCTTTAGTAGCTTTTGACCTTTCGAGTAGATACTTTAAAAAAAAAAAAAAAAAACCATTTTCTGGTTTTTTTTTTTAACCCATGGACCTTGGCAAAATTATTTTACCAGTTTTTTGCTCATGGGATATTAAGCATTAAAATATTGCCTAATAGGGCCTCCCCTGGTGACGCAGCAGTTGAGCGCTGGGTTGCAAGGCTGCCCGCAGCCTTTGCAGCACCAGTTCAATCCCCGGCCACCAGCGAGGGGCCCACAAAAAAAAATAAAATATTGCTTAATATCCCATGGTCCATTTTGAAAAAAACTTACTATAAATTTATAGATGATTATTCAAGAAATAATATAAGCTGGTACCTGGGTCGGTGTTTTCCAACAAATCTTTGCTTAGAATTCCAGTGACCCATATGAAAACGATTTTAACATGACAAACTCAAAATCTTAGCCATTCACATTAACCCTCTTCTGAGGTGACATTTTGTACTGAGTTACACTCTGCTCCTTATACCATGAGAAATAGAAGAAAACCCCTGGTTTGGGAACTGATATCTAGAAAACAGTTCTCTGTGCTGCTTTTTAAGGCAAGTCAGCCTTCTTTAGGTTTTATCATTCCCATCTATAAATTAGGGCGTAAGTTTAGATGCTCTTTTAACATCCCACAGACCTCAGAGTCTTTGAATAGTAAATGAAATTACAATTCTCATAATAGATATGTTTCCAGTCATTCATACTAGACTTCTTTAGATACCTTCTATACAAAGTTGCTATTTCTGAAAATAGTCTTAGTGAAGGTACAAAACACAAGTAAGGGTTTCATTGTTTTATTTTTTTCCCAAAAATATTCTTGTTATTGATTACCTCTTAAAGTTGAACATTGATATTTTACAAAGTTCTTTCTACTGTCCCCCCTTCTCACCACCTCTCCCCCTCCGTTGGAATTAAGTTAAACAAATATTACTTGGTTAAAACAGGCAAGTTTTCACTATTCTTTCTTCAGATCAAAGGAATTATCTTTTCTTAAAATGCAGCAGTTCTGTTGTCTCTGTTTTATTATTGCCTTTTTTTTTTTTTTTTTTTATAGAGGCATGCTTTATTTATTTGTTTGCTGGTTTGTTTGTTTGTTTTGTTTATACATGCACTGGGTACAGTCAGAAGCGCGGGAGGGTGAGAGAATTCACCAGAGCCAGAGCGGGGAGCAGAGCAGGCAGAAGGACCGAAGTACACTGCTGAGGGGAGCAGCGGGCGGCAGGAGAGGTCTGCACGCCATGTGGGACCCTCCTCTGGTGGCCGGGGAGCAGCCGGGGATCGAACCGGCGCCGCAGAGGCCGCGGGCAGCTTCGCAACCCAGCGCTCAACCGCTGCGCCACCGGGGAGGCCCTATTATTGCCTTTTAAACTCCCTGTAGCGTTACATGGATCTCTTGAAGCAGTCCTTCATACCTCATTAACTTGTTCATCATATTTATCTCTATACATTTTCTCTGAATTCTTAGGAGAGATCTCAGGGTTGTTCTTCAATTTGATGTTTCATTTTCTGAAACATTCAGTTTGCTCTTCACTGTCCCAACTGTTTTTTAAATTCCTGGGATTACAGAGCATACTGTGTTTGTTCACTCAGATGAAAACAGGTCTCATGGTGCTGAATATCAGGTGACTGTTAACCTTCTTAAAGCTACCCCTGCATAGGTGTAACATTTCATTGATTTACTCCCCTAGATATGTCTCAAGAAACTTAGGAGCCTTTTCCAAATACTATTTTTCTCTTTACTTTCAGGTACTCATTCACTAAAAGTAGATCCCTTATGAAAAGTAGGATATGAGTATATGTAACATTTTCCAAGTTTAGAATATAAAATAATAGAGGTATATATTGAGAAACAGAATAGCCAGTCACTTCCAAGCATATGAAGTTGGATTCTAATCATTATTGAATTAGTAATTTATCAGTACTAAAAGTAAATTTTTTTTTTTTTTTAATTTATTTAAGCACTGGGTACAGTCAGAAGCGCGGGAGGGTGAGAGAATTCACCAGAGCCAGAGCGGGGAACAGAACAAGCAGACCCACAAAATACACTGCTGAGGGGAGCAGCGGGTGCGGCAGGTCTGCGCGCCATGAGGGACCCTCGCCAGGAGCTGGGGATTGAAACGGTGCTGCAGAGGCTGCGGGCCTCTTTGCAGCCCAGCGCTCAACCACTGTGCCACCAGGGGAGGCCTCTAAAAGTAAATTCTGCCTTACCAAAAGAAAGATACTTCTGAGGAGGCCTTGACCAGCTTTGGCATCTCTGGTTCTTGAGGTAGAGCACCCTAGGTAATACTAGGTAAGGGTGGAATATTGAAAGTGAAGTCTTACCCCCTACAAAAACTCTTGTGGATCACTTGGCCTGTTAATACATTATAAAGTCATACTGTTGGTAGATAAAGATACTGTGCTTCCACATACCGTCATGCATTTTCCTCACCTTGTGCCGCTTGTGAATTTATATTATGAAAGTATAGCATCTGTGATTCAGTCCATAATTCAGAGAGTTGTTGGTCATGTTTTAGTTGCCATTTTTCCCACATTGTGTATGAAATAAATTCTGTAATTAGTAACACCAGGAAAAGAGTCTACGTTTCTATCTGTTGTAAAGGACATTTTTGATTCCTCATTCCTTAGGCTGTAAATCAATGGATTTAGTGTGGGAATTATAATAGTGTTGAAGCCCGATGCCAACTTATTTTGACTCAGGAATCATCAGGGTTGGGATTACAAAGATACCTGAAACAGAGGGCTCATTACTGTCAGGCAAGAAGCATAGGTGGTAAAGGCCTTGGACCTGCCTTCAGTTGAATTGTTCTTGTGAGTGGTGATAACAGTATAGATATAAGACATCATAGTAGCCAGGATAGATGTGAGTCCAAAGATTACTTTGCACAGTGGTCACGGTTTGAAAGAAAAAGTTGTCAGAGCAGGATAGGAAGCACTTGGTAAAGATCACAGAAGAGATGATTGATAACATACCCAAAGAAATGGAGCTAAAGTAGGGCACACAGTTGAATAAATGAGCTAAAGAATCCAGTGATGGTTGTGTAGTGCAAAGCATTACAAATGACAGCATGTCCTTCATAAGCCATGACTGCCAGGAGACAGTGCTCAGTTGCCCAGGCTAGCGAAGAAGAATTGCATGGAACACCCGGTATAGGAGATGAATTTATGCTTCTTGAAGAAGTCTCAGCATCCTCAGATAACCCAGAACAGATTACAAAGGAAAAAAGTACATAGGTGTGTGCGAATAGGTATCAGTCCTGATAAGACTGATATGGCCCCTGTTCTAGGACACTGCCATGACATCAATCCCTAGGAATATTAGAACGAGGACAGTGGTGACTTTGGAAACTTAGAAAATCTACTAGTATATGCTGCTAAAAGAAGTTCAAGTATGAACAGATTATCACTGATGCTGCAGAATCCTTCTCAGGCCTTTTCCCATCTTTGCTTCCTCCCTCCTCCGCAGAGGTAACATTCCTGACTTCTGACACTGCAGCTTTGTTGTGCTTGTTTTTGTTTTGTTTTCTTTTAAAGATTTATTTATTTATCATACAAGAGCTGGAGTAACAGGCCAGAGATGCGTGGGGTGAGAGGATTCACCAGAGACAGTGGGGAGCAGAACAGGCAGACTGACTGAAATACACTGCTGAGGGGAGAAGTGGGCGAGACAGGAGAGGTCTGCTGCGCCATGTGGGTTGCTCCCTGGCTGGCCAGGGATCGAATTCGTGCTGCAGAGGATGTGGATTGCTTCATAGTGCGGTGCTTAACCCCTTGTCCTTGCGCCACCAGGGAGGCCCTGTTGTGCTTGCTTTTGATGGACAGCATGCATGTGTTCTTCAGGTCAATCTGTGTTGGTCAGCCATTGTGTGAATATACCACAGTTCACATATCCAGCCTACTGTTAGGGATATTTAGGTGGTTGCTAGTTTTTTGCTCTCACAATAATGCTGCTGTGCACTTTCCTGTGCACATGTCCTTAGTGTGTGTACATGCATTTCTTTTTGGTATATCCCTAGAAGGGAAATTGCTGAGTCCTGTTTGAACTCTAGTAGATACTGAAGAACTGTCAGATATCCAATGTTCCCCATCCTTGCCAACAAGGTTTTTTTTTTTAAAGGACTTTTTTCATAGAAATAATTACAAAAAAATTACAAAATAAAAATAGTACAAGGAATTCTCATACCCTTTAATCAAATGTGTAGGTTTTTTATTGATTTCCAAATTGAGGGACTTTTAGTTTCTACTTTTAATGTATTGTGGTTAGTTTTGTTTGTAGTATTTCACAGAACTTACTGGTGTTTTCTTTGTGCCCTAGAGTATGATTGCTTTTTGAAAACATTCCTTGAATTTAGAGAACATTTCTTGAGAAGGCAAATTTTCTCTCTTAAGGGCACCGATTTTCTCTCTTCAGTATATATCCAAAAGACCTAAGATCTAACTTATTTATTTTGATTTCTTTGTTCACTGGATCTATTTTGTACAGATTGGTAATTTCCAAGTTTCCTAATACTGCTGTATTTCTGTCCTTGGATCTCGTGTGGTTTTTGTTTTAAAGGAATACTTGCCAGAGTTAATTAGTTCATAGATAGTTGTCACTGTGAGTAACTTGTGATGTGTCCGTTGTCTCATTTTATGTTTTCTGGTTTGAAGTCTGCTTTGCTCTTAAGATTTCAATCCCTGAAAAAAAAAAAAAAAAAAGATTTCAATCCCTGGTCTTATTTTATTTGCCTCATAAATATATACATTCCTTCATTTTTAGCCTTTTTGGATTGTTGTGTCTCCTGTATACAACATAAAGTTACTTTTACATTTTGAGCCAATTTGAAAACATTTGGTATTATATTTAGTCTCAATTCTAACATGTTATATTGTGTTTATTTTGTGATTGTTATCTATATATGCATATTAGGTTTTTTCATTTATTTTCTTTGTTTTTGTTTTTCTTATATTTAAGAAAGGGTTTGTTTTTCATGGTTTCCTCTGTATTGATATTTTATAGTGCCCCATTCCTTCTTACTTTCTGTTGGTTTTAAATTTTTTTTTTATTGCTATTTACTGCTTCTGTTGCAGTCAGTGATCTTCTGTTTACCCCTTTTCTGTCTTGATGGTTTTAGCTACGTTTTTCTACTTTCTCAGAAAATGTTCTTCATCCCATGGGCCTCACTCTGTTTTAGTCTTAACTCTACAATCAAAAATAAGAATTGTTTACTGTTACATGCTTTTTGAATCAACCCTGTCTTTTTTTTTTTTTTTTTTTAGATTTATTTTTATGCATACAAGAGCTGGGGTACAGGCCAGATATGTGGGGGCGGGGGTGAGAGGATCCACCAGAGACAGAATGGGGAACAGAACAGGCAGACTGACTGAAATACACTGCTGAGGGGAGCAGTGGGCGAGACAGCAGAGGTCTGCTGTGCCATGTGGGTTTCTCCCTGGCTGGCCAGGGGGATGGAACTTGTGCTACAGAGGCTGTAGATTGCTTCATAGTGCAGTGCTTAACCCCTGTGCCACCAGGGAGGCCCCGTCATCTTTTGGTAGGATGAAGTTTGCCCTTTAGTAGGCTCCTCGGGAAGGGCATGTGTACCTACCCTTTATGTACACTTAATATCTCTGTTACAGAGTTGCCTGAGCCCTGCATATTTATGGCTTTGTTGTGGCCTTGATTCTTGGACACACTGTTAGGATATACTCTTCTGAGTTGCTTCTACTTTGTTTTTTCCTCCATTGTCCTGAAAATGCTGTTCTTTTGTAGTTTACTTGTATCTTTTCTTGTTTACTTGTTTCCATCTGTGCTTTTTGTTTGCCTGTGTGTTGTGTTTTTTGGTATCCTTTAACTGCAACTTCAATCTTAAGAGTCAGGCATATGTGATGATCATACGCACAGCTGAAAGTTTAAACTCATTAGTCTCTCTACCAATTTGCTGGGCAGTATGAAATTTTTCTTCATAGAGTATACATAAGGATCATAATTTTTGTTGTTTAAAGCTATATAACCCGGGCCTCCCTGGTGGCGCAGCGGTAGAGCGCTGGGTTGCGAAGCTGCCCACGGCCTCTACGGCGACGGTTCAATCCCCGGCTGCTCCCCGGCCACCGGAGGAGGGTCCCACATGGTGCGCAGACCTCTCCTGCCACCCGCTGCTCCCCTCAGCAGTGTACTTCGGTCCTTCTGCCTGCTCTGCTCCCCGCTCTGGCTCTGGAGAATTCTCTCACCCTCCCGCGCTTCTGACTGTACCCAGTGCATGTATAAACAAAACAAACAAACAAGCAAACAAATAAAGAAAAACATGCCTCTATAAAAAAAAAAAAAAAAAAAAAAAAAATAAAGCTATATAACCCAATTAATTTTGAGAAATGTGCATTTCTCCACCTATCTTCTTTTTGTCTTCTCTTTTTCTCCCTTAAATATAGGATGCACTTGCAGCCTTGGAAACTCCCGGAGGTCCCAGCCAGCGTAAAAGGAAACTGAGTACACCCCTCTCAGAAGTCATTGTCAGAAACTTGAAATTTGCTTTGGCAAATAGCTCTGGAAATGCCGTCACTCTTTCTGCCAGCCCTCATCTGAAGGATACCCAGTCAGATAAGGTAAAATTCAATCTTATTAATAGGAAACATCAGATTAAAAAATTCAAACAATAATGGCTGATCTGTTTCTTTTACTTTTCATGGGCAGGAAGAAGCTCCAAAGCCACTTCACAAAGTAGTGGTATGTGTTAGTAAAAAGCTCAGTAAAAAGCAGAGTGAACTAAATGGGATTGCAGCCTCTTTAGGAGCAGATTACAGGTAGTTGCCACATCTTTTCTATTTTACTGCTTTGGAGACATGGATTATCAGATCTTCCCTGCACCTGACAGTCTAATCAGAGGCATGTCTGTAACACAAATGGCAAAGAGACATCCTGTGTCAATTATACTCCTCAACTGCTAGCCTTCTTCAGCACTTGTATTCAGCCATTCACAGAGAGCATAATCACTGGTTTTACAAATAACAGTTGAGGAATATGATTAATTTTATCTTCCCCTTTGATAAGTCTTAGTTTTCTAGTTGATAAATTAGATCAAGGTTATAGGTGTTTAGTGCATCTGCTGTAGAAGAGTGAACTGTTACTTAAATTATTTATTATATTGTATGATAATTATGTCTATATTACCTGGTTGCCAAAACATGGTAGAAGCCAAGCATTTAATTTCATTTTTTTCTTTTTAAAGATTTATTTATGCATAGAAGAACTGGGGTGTCAGCCAGAGGTGTTGGAGGGGTGAGAGGAAACCAGAGACAGAGTGAGGAACAGAATAGGCACATCTATTGAAATACACTGCTGAGGGGAGCAGTGGGTGAGACAGGAGAGGTCTGCTATGCCATGTGGGTCAGCTTCCTGGGGATCAAACTTGAGCTGCAGTGGCTAGAGGTAGCTTGATAACGCTGTGTCTGTAACCCCTGCACCACCAGGAGGCCCTCACTTCATAGTTGTTAAAATTTAATACATCCTTCGATACTCTATTTGGATGTGAATTTGATGTAAGACTTAAACATAGGACTTGTAGTTTTTATTAGATTTAAATGCCAATCATCTCAGTATGAAAGAAGAAATATTGCTGCAATTTCTAGATAGATGTGCAGAGATATTTATGTGTTCATAGGGTGGTTAATTCTCAAGTGAAGATGTCCCAGATAGTCCCTTGAATATGCAAGGTCCCAGACCATCCTGAAGAGATCATCTGATGCTGTCTTCCACCTTCCAATAGTTAAAAATCTACACTAGATCTTTTCAGCACATCTGATATAGCTTCCCCTTTTTATTACAAATATTTATATAGTTTCCTCAACTAAAATGAATTTCATAAGTATAACATATTTTGTAATTAAAGTCAATATAAGTCTTAGTAATAGAAGACTATATAAGTGTCTTTGCCTGATGACACTAGAGAAAATGAAGTATTCATATGTTTACCTGTATATGCATAATTACTTCAAATGCTGCAACCAGACTGGGACAGATATGAAGACTCAGATATCACAAGCAGCATGTCCATTGGCAACATGACGTTACAAAAAGTTGACAGTTTTGCAAAGTTCCAAATTAAGCAAAATTCTTCCATCAGTTTACTCAGTGGTTGCACCCAGTCTGGTAAATCAGTGTATATTAAAACTGCAAAAATAACTTGTTTACTTAAAAATAGATTCTAGGTTCAACTAATTATAAACAACCTTTTTTTGATCTATGCAAATATTGGACATTAGAAAATTGTATGGGATATGGGATAATTGTATGAATGACTGTTTTCCAGAATTTCTGGCATCCCTAGACCTTACCCAGTAAATGCCAGAAGCACCCTTCCCACCCCAACCCCCTCCAGTGTACACATATTTTTTTAATTTTATTTTTATATTCCCCATACAATTATAACTGCCTTATTTTGACTCTAATCCCTCCTTTTCCCCCCTCTCCCCCAAATTTGTTGATTTTGATTTTTTCTTTCTTATAGTTATTCTTTTTCCTGGTCCCTTATTTAGGTTTTCTAGATTCCTGCTATGAGTGAGACCATCCGGTATTTTTCTTTTTCTTGCTTATTTTGCTGAGCATGATCCCTTCCAGCTCCATCCATGTTGCTGCAAATTGCATGTGTTTATCTTTTTTGATTGCTGAGTAATATTCCATTGCAAATACACATTATTCTAACAACCAAAATCATCCCCACAAATTTTCAAATTAACTTGTAAAGGGACAATTTTGGCAAAACACTATTCTAGATCAAGGGTTGGGCAGGCCAGTGCTCTGTTTTTGTAAAGTTTGTTAGAGCACAATTTTGCCTGCTTGTTTACATAAAGAGAAAATACTATTTTTTAATTAATCTTGGCTATTTAAAAAGTTCGGAGATTATTTCTATTAGGAAATGGGAAGTATATTAAATGTCCATAAAGGAAAATTTCTGTTTTGGTGATTTCATTTAGAAATTAAATTTTTACTTCATCTTTGAAGGATGATATATTTTATATTTTCCTAGGTCAGGAACAATATTAAATGGGCAGAATCAGGAGCTCATAGCATAGTATGATAGTTAAAGCGTGTGGGTTTTGTAGTCAAGCCTAATTCTGCCACTTACTGAATATCCTGGATATTCAGTTATTTAGCCATATTTAACTTTCAATTTTCTTATCTATAAATAGAATTAAAAATACCAGTGTTGGGCTTCCCTGGTGGCACAAGGGTTAAGGCGCAGCACTGTGAAGCTACCCACAGCCACTGCAGCACAAGTTGAATTCCTGGCCACATGGCACAGCAGACCTCTCCTGACTTGCCCGCTGCTCCACTCAGCAGTGTATTTTAGTAAATCTGCCTGTTCAGTTACCCACTCTGTCTCTGGGGAATCCACTCACCACCCACACCTCTGGCCTGTACCCCAGTTCTTATATGTATAAATAAATAAATCTTAAAAAAAATACCAGTGTTTTAGGATTATTGTGAGGAATGGATAAGATAATGCAGTGTGAAGTATATAATCTGTGGGGGCACAGAGCAGCTGCATAATGATTGCCTAAAACTGGAATGCAAATTGGATGCTTTGCTATTTGTTAATTTGAAATACTATTTTAGAGACCATCCAAGTATCTCCATGTACTTATATTCATTGACAGAGATGTGTACATAATTTGGCCAAAAAAAAGTAGAGCCTATCATTTAATATTCTTGCTTACTGTAGTTTGTGAAAGTCAAAATATTCTATTCATAATGAGTAATAATCATCTTAATGTAGATGTTTCTCTTAGTTATTTTTTTCTTTGGTTATTTCAGGTGGAGTTTTGATGAAACAGTGACTCACTTCATCTATCAAGGACGACCAAATGATACAAATCGAGAGTATAAATCTGTAAAAGAAAGAGGGGTACACATTGTTTCAGAGCACTGGATTTTAGAAGTAAGCAATGCCTATTTTCCTGTCATTTCTGTTAAATGGAACTATGTACAAACTTTTTTAAGGCCCAAACTAGTTTCAGTGTGTGTAAACAAGTTCGATGATCTTAGTTACATTTCATTAACATTAAAAACATAAGGTTTTTGTTTTTGAAGCATTTAAGCACGCCTTAAATGTTTAGCAAGCCTTTGATGATACTTTTCCTGATTCTTTGATTCTTGCCAGTGATTCTACATGGTAGGAGGAGGAAAGAAGTGGGACGGTAAAGGGTCGCCTGTTTGGTGATGGACGGGAACAGGAATTTCGGTGCAAACATGAAGTGATATATACAGAAATCGATTGAAAAGCTGTATAGCTGAAACCTCATTAATGTTTTAAAGCATTACTGTTTTCGTTTTTTAAAAGGATAAATGAGAGACTGGATGGAAATATACTATGAAAGAAAACTATATTAGAGAATTAATTTAGCATACCAGTAACTTTTAGAATGGTTCCTTTTCTTTTTTTGTCTTGTTTTCTCTTTCTTTTGGTTCTTCTCCGGAGTATGGTTGATATCTTGGTAAAAGCACAGAAACAAAATTTGATTTTATGCTTTAGTGGATCTGATATTAGAAAGTAGGACAGTTGTCATTTGTATGATGGAATTTTTCAGTGTCAGCTGATTTTCAAAACTAATTTTGTGAACTTTGTTCGTCTTAGGACATAATGTATTGATTCTGCTTATTCTGTTCAACATCATTTATTCACTAAGTCTTTTTTCAGTCCTATTTTAAAAGTACACTATTGTATTGCAGTGTGCCCGAGAATATAAACATCTTCCTGAATCTCTTTATCCACATACTTATAATCCCAAAATGAGTTTGGATATCAGTGCAGTGCAAGATGGGAGACCCTGTAGTAGTCGACTACTCTCAGCTAATTCTACAACAAAGGATGATAAGGTAGATGATAAGGATAATACACTTACCCATTTATTAAGCTAAATGTATAATCGTATTTATTGCTGTGAAACCTTATCCAATGGTGTAGTTTGAGAAGTTCTAATTTTTCTCATTTAAAAGCCAGATCATATGCCTGTAGAAGAAAACATTGATATAGACAATATGACCAGTAATAATGAATCAGCAGCATCAAGTGGAAATGAAAACAATGACTCTAAAGGAGGTACAATATTTTAAATTACAAAAAATTTTATGAATATCTTTCTTAAGAATGCTTCCTTTGCACCAGATGGAAAAATACGCTTATTTTCTATGTTAATTTAAATAAGGTGAAGCATATATTTGAGGCCTGAATTGAGACTCCATGATTTAAGCATGAAACTTGTGAAATTTGTGGAAGCTAGGTATTTTATGGTTAGTGTGATACAGCCTTCTAGTAAAGCTAGTTTGGAGATGGTGATTTTTTTAAATTTTTTCTTGGTTTCATTCTTTTCAGTGATTTTCAGAGTTTTATTATGTATATAATACATTTTAATATGGTTATATGATTTTAAATATACAGAAGGAGATATGAGCTTCTCACCCTTTCAGTGTTGTTAGCTCCCTGTGTATTCTTAAGGGTAGGCTATTTTGCATAGATAATCATAAATATATATATGTTCTTCCTTCCCTGCTTAAAAAAAATACATAAATGGTGAATTACTATATATGCTGTTTTATACTTTGATATTGATTTTTTTGCTTGACAGTTCAACTTATAGTGTTTCATATGATACGTAAGGAGCTTCTTTAGCCTATTTCTTTTTTAAATGTTTATAAGGAAACCAAGGATAAATAAATATCTGTGGTCTGTGTTTTCAAGGACCATAGGGGAAAATCATAAACATAAGTGACTGAAATGAACCTCAGAGAACAGTACATAACATGAGACAGGAAAAGAAGCAGACAGGGAGCTCTACAAAAGTGTCTTCAGAGGGCTTCCTGATTATTTCATATACAGTCCTCGGGGTAAGGGCTGCCTTTATATTCTGCAGCATTCATAGTCTTAGTACATTACTACAGCCTGTGGTCAGTATTCAGTAAATGTCAAGTCAATAAATTTGTGTTCAACCAAATCTAGATGAAATAGTTAATGTAACTAAGATGTAGGAAAACATACCTTCATTGGTATATTTTTGTTTTCTTCAAGCTTTGACACAGACTTTGGAGATGAGAGAAAACTTCCAAAAGCAGCTGCAAGAGATAATGTCAGCAACATCAATAGTGAAGCCCCAAGGGCAAAGGACTTCCCTTTCAAGAAGTGGTGGCAACAGTGCTTCTTCAACCCCAGACAGCACTCGCTCTGTCCGCAGCGGGCGAAGCAGAGTCCTAGAGGCGCTGAGGTATGTGCTTGTCACTGGTGGCCGAAAAGAGTGACTGGATGACTGAAATAAATGTTGTTCCTTATTTAGGTACCAGCAAACTGAATTCTATGAGTTAAGGCTAATTTTGCTTTTTTTTTTTTTTTTTTTTTTTTTAAATCATAAAGCAGTTTAGAATAAAAGGGATATACTGCTGGGCCTCCTTTCGCCCAAACTATATATATTCAGATATTACTTGCTGATTGTTGCCCTCTACTGATGAGCCTTTCCTTTTTTAAAGATTTTATTTATGCATAGAAGAACTGGGGTATAGGCCAGAGGTGTGGGGGGTAGTGAGAAGCTTCTCCAGAGACAGAATGGGGAGCAGAACAGGCGGATATACTGAAATACATTGCTGAGGGGGGAGAAGTGGGTGAGACAGGAGAGGTCTGCTGTGCCAAGTGGGTTGATTCTCTCGCTGGGGAAACTCATACCGCAGTGGTGGTGATAGTTTGATAGCGCTGACACTTTAACCCCTGTGTCACCAGGAAGGCCTCTGATTTTTAAGATTCACTTTGTAGTGCTTAAAGGACACTCTCTGTATTTTTTAGTATAGTTATTTCCTATTGGAGCTACATGCATTTTGTATTCTCTTTATAAATTTATCTCCTAGGAAAGGTAATTACAGATCTTAGCATAATGTGACTGAAGTTCAATAGCATAATTCATCTTTTTCTAATAGAAAATTCTCTAATTGTGTGATGAATATAAGGATTTATGCGTTGAGTTGATTAAGTATAAATAAATACACTGCGAAGGGGCCTCCCTGGTGGTGCAAGGGGTTAAGACGCAGCACTTTAAAGCTACAGGCGTCCAGTGCAGCAGTTGTTCAATTCCCGGCCAGGAAGATGATTCCGCCCCTCCCCCCCCTCCCCCCCACGGCACAGCAGACCTCTCCTGACTCCCCTGCTGCTCCCCTCACCAGTGTATTTCAGTAGATGTGCCTGTTCTGTTCCCCACTCTGTCTCTGGTAAATCCTGTCACCCCCCCCACACACACACACACCTCTGGCTTGTACCCCAGTTCTTGTATGCATAAATAAATAAATCTTTTTTTAAAAATACACAGAATAAGAAACTATCTTGTTTTTGAGGCATATGAACTCTGGGGATACATCATTATTGGTAAATTTTTACTAAGATTCCACAAAGATAAACACGTGCGCATGCACATACTCAGAGATTCAGTACTTACATTGAAAGAACATAGTTGGGGGCCTCACCGGTGGCGCAGCAGTTGAGTGCTGGGTTGCGAAGCTGCTCGCAGCATCTGCAGTGCCGGTTCCATCCCCGGCTGCTGGGCGAGGGTCCCACATGGCGCGCAGACCTCTCCTGCCGCCTGCTGCTCCCCTCAGCAGTGTACTTCGGTCCTTCTGCCTATTCTGCCCTCCGCTCTGGCTCTGGTGAATTCTCTCACCCTCCCGCACTTCTGACTGTACCCGGTGCTTGTATAAATAAATAAATCTTTGAAAAAAAAAAAAAAGAACGTAGTTGGAATTCTATTTACTCTCCAGTGGAATTTTATCTATTCTGGACTGGGGGATTTGGTAACGAAGAGCTAAAAGGACCTCTTTTAAAGCACTTACAGCAAGCAAGGCTTTTGTGTAACTATAGTTTTTATTATTTCAAATTATATATAGTTATATTAGAAAAATATTAACTATAGGTAAGCAAAGTGACCAGTTAGCTAAACATTGCTGTTTCCCTAAACCTATAATAAAAGATATCCCATTTGTAAATGCAGTATTTTTTAAATTTCTTTGAAAATTTTGAGAGAACTCCCCCTTTGAAGTTTTAAGTGTGTAAACATCCAGTGCTTCATTTTCTAGCTAAAATAAGTTTCTGGAGAAACATTTTAAAATGAAAAGTTTCCCAATTTTATTTAATATTTTCAGATGCTTACTGCCTGGTAGATGATGGGTGTATAAAGGTGAACTCAAATTTACACTCTCACCTGTGGCTTTTATGAATGTGGACTTGGTTGTGGCTATATATTCATTATAATCATCACTTTACTTCCTCAGGCAGTCTCGTCAAACAGCACCTGACATCAACACAGAGCCCTCCCAAAATGAACAGATCATTTGGGACGACCCTACAGCCAGGGAAGAGAGAGCAAGGCTTGCCAGCAACCTGCAGTGGCCTTGTTGTCCTACACAGTACTCTGAGCTTCAGGTTGACATTAAGAAATTGGAGGATTCTCCTTTTCAAGAGCCTTTACATGGTTCAGAAATCACTGAGCAGGGTAACAAAACAACTCTGTTTACTTGTTTGTATAAAGGACATGTTGATTTGTTAAAAATAGATAAGTGTCATGGTTCTTCTGAATTGTACATGCAGAAAACTTATTCTGTGTTGTAAACTAAATCGGAGTAATGTATCAGTAATTTAAAAATTATATTTTTTAACTCGTAAATTTGGAAATGTAGGGTTAGACATGCTTTCCTAGACATGGTTTTCCTCTTTATTTTCATTTCACTCTTCTAAATTCCGCCTAGCTATACCTACATTTTTCTTTGGATTTAAATTGGTTTCCTTTCTGAATTCTACTTTGTTCTTTGCTCATCTTTTTCCCCCTTTCTCTTTCATATCAAATGATTATTTCTCTACATTCGCTGTATAGTTGTATCTCTGCTTCTCATTTTTTCCAACTGTGAAATTTGTTTTTATTTAATTTGGGTTACATTTTACTGATGACAATGTGATATTTAAAGAAGCTCACGGATAATACCATTTGCCCTTTTAATTAATTGCATTTATTTATAAGCTATAGAAGTAGGCTACTTCTTTTGCATGTATTTTTTGCATCCTGAGTTTGTGTTTAATTTCATCTTAGCTAAGACAGATGAGGGTATTTCCCAGAATTTGTCATATTTGGATAATGTTACAGTGCAGCGTTTTATTGCCTTCAGCTATCTGTGATCCTGCAAAGGTGTGTGTAACTGAAGCCCCAAAACACCCTATCTCTGAAGAACCAGAAACTGCAGTAAAAGACAGCCACCTGATCCCTACGCCTCAAGCCCCGAGTATTGCCTTCCCCCTAGCCAACCCACCTGTGGCTCCACACCCTAAAGAAAAGGTTTGTTTATCCTTAGAGTGGCAATATGGCTTTTGGGTATTTCTGGTATGCTGCATTCAAAATTTGCTTATTTTAATATCAAGCGTTCATCAGATGTTGAAAACTGCTTTTCTTTGCATGTCTTATAATTTCTGTATTTGAAAACTCAGAAGACTAAGTAAAATGTCACTAATAATTTTTGGTATTAACTTTTTTGTAAACTCTTCCATTCCAGATTATAACAATAGAGGACACACATGAAGACTTAAAAAAACAGTACATATTTCAGTTGTCATCTCTGAATCCTCAAGAACGTATTGATTATTATCATCTGATTGAAAAACTAGGTACCAGTATTTTACTTAAAAAATGTCCCATAGGGTAACCTTATTTGGAAGTTGTTAATGTTGCTATTATTTAGAAGGTGTAGAAGTTGGGATTAAAAAGCAGGCAATTTATCTAAGGCTCCACATTAAGTCAGCATTACAACTGATTTTGTGAAGCTGAATCTAAATTCAGTGGTCCTGGGATTTAAAGATTTAAATTAAAAACAATCCATAAGGTTTAAGAATCTCTTGTGCTGCTTTGAGCATTTGTTATTAATAAAACCTTCGACAGAAATCTATGAAGTTAAAGTCTTCATTATAAACCACATTTTAATGAAATTGAAGG